AGGGAAAGGGGCCAAATGCAGTTTAAAGAGTCTCTCTGTTGATTACCTTTTTATAGTAAAAATGCAAGGTTTAGTAAACAGACCAGGATTAAGCTCTAGAAAGCTGTCAGCATTGGCTTAAATTTGGGCACATGGATTGCTGAATTGCAGTTTATTGTTAAAAGTCAAATAATCTTCATGTAAACCCATGCAAATCTCATAAGCCAAGTGTGTTCTGTACTTCATGTACCAGTATGTGTGAATTTGGAGTAGTATGCTTTATCGTATTCTTTGCTTTATGCTGATGCTAAGAGAAATCTGCATTTTCTCTATAAAGTGTATGCCTTAGCTCGCTGGAATGGATGCATTGTAGTTTCTATTATGCAGTAATACACAGCAAACGATTGTGACTTCTCCTAGGGCAGCAGGTAGTTTCCCTCTATGCATTGCTAAATGAAACTTCCTGAATTGTCATCTTTTCATGAATAACAAGAGTATTTTGCTGAAAATTGGACACAGTGGATGTATACAATGAGAAATGTAGGATGCCAGAACCCTTAGTCCCCTAGATAAGAAGGGTCACACAGAGCATTAGACTAGTGTGCCGTTTAATCCCATTAAGCAGCCTGTACTCAGCTTGTCTTTATCTTGTATGTTTAAATAAATTGTCAGCACTATGCTCTGCTTCTGCATCCTTGGTATTTTAGCCTAGCACAATTCTGCTCTGCTGGTGATAACTCCGACTGTATACCAGGCAGAGCTGGGGCTGGTGATAGCAGCTCCAGAGCCATCCATCAGAGTGCTGGGTCAGAGCAGGATGTTTGTTTATTTTTTTTTTAATAAGTGAAAATGCGCTAGATTTCTCTCCAAATGGTGTATAGGAGACTCGGTCACAGATTTTGTTGTTGCTGAATTTGCATTTGCAGTTCCCATTTTTCCGTTCCTCCAGCTTGCTTTCACTATAGCAGCAGGCTTATGCTTCATATCAGACTATGTGCATCAGAGTTCTAGCCAGACTGTTTAATGAAAATCCTAACTCTTGTCGAACACTCATAACAAGAATTGTTTCAGAGTCGCACCTCGGAAGGAAAAATGATGTATTATGTTTATGTGCTGCTAATCCGCCTGATGAATCTTCCTTCATTTTTATTGAAGAGTAATCCAAGATTTTTAAAGGCATAAATGAAAGGTAGCTGTTCAGTTGCTATCGGCCTTTGTTCTCTCCAAAGAGAGAATGAGTCCCTCCTATCCCAAGGCACAGGATCTTACAGCAAGTCCCACTTTCCAATAGAAAAATGCTATGAGGAATTATATGATGACATGAGCTTCCTTTTAGCAAGTGGAAACGGGTCACAAATGGCTGGAGTGCCAAGGAGTGCGCTACAGGGAGTTGGAAGATATTAAGGAGGCCACAGAGGAAGATGAGTATTTCAGAAAGAACTTTTCCAAGTACGTCGGAAGGAGGGTGGTAGATTCGTTCCTGGGTGTGTGGATTTTTTTTTCTTCCTAGCCATGCTTTTTCCTAAGGGAATTATATATATTTTACACATTATTATCTGAGTGTCTGCTGCCACAAGCAGTTAAAAAAAAAAAAATGTTTCCAGAAAAGTGAAATATAAAATTAAAGCCCCATGTTGTAACAGCAGTGACCCTACCCAGAGGAGAATCACATCACTGCACCTCTTTCTGGGTGAATGCTGTAAACCTACCTACACCCGAAGTGGTGTTAACTGGATTTGTCGCTTTGGATTATCAGCAGAGAGCACTGGTTCCATTAGTCTGCATCTCAGCTGGCAGCTCGTGCTCAGGAGGTCCCCGTGAAAAGGATAAAGTGCTAATGGGAATGAAACTGAAATGGTTTGGCAAAGGAATCGTATCAGCCCTCTGCCATATCATCAGCCCTGGCCAGTGATGCTGGTAGCAGCTGTACCACATTTGACAAAACCTGAAAAGGAGGAATTGTGCTCAATAACAAACAAACAAAATAGTCCAAAATAAGCAAGACAGCATTTTGTTTGTAGCCTGAAAACCATTGCAGATCAGGCAGTCTTGTTCTTTAGCATATAGAACGTGAACCAAAGTCCTTTATGTAGGCTACACATTGCTCTTCCCAAGGTGTTTGCCTGGGCAAGGACTAAACAAAATCCGGCTTTCCTGAATAGCAGCTAAATGGAAACAGTATTCAGGTCACACAGCAGTAAGTGATTCTTTCACTTACCAAAGAATAAACTGCAATACAAGTAACAGTGCTGGCTGCGATTTCTATGAGCCTCATAATCTTACTAGGATATCAAATACGTCCCTTGCTATAATGTTTTGTCATTAACTTAATATTGCAATGAAAAAAAGATTATGGAAAAATGTCTAGTATTTGTACATTGTCTAATAACTAAATATTGCAAAGATATATCAGCTCATTACTAATCATAAATAAAAGTGGTTATTTCCATTTTCAGCGCAGATGTGTGTAATTACATGAGCCTTAGAAAGGATTGCTTGTTCTCCCTAAATAATTAACTGGTATTGTAGCTGCACAGGGTGATGACCTAACACCGGAGTCTGGTTGGGTTTGACGCAGGGCTGTTGGTTCCACAGGCTCATGTAGATGTGCGATACACAGCAGTCCTTGCCAGGGCGACAGCTCTGAGCTGTAAGGTCAGCAGGCATAGAGGGGCTCATTGCTACTTAAATCAGGTAGTTTGTTAAGCCTTTGTGAGCTGAGGACCTACCTCATTGATTGACTGTTAGAGAAGCGAAGTAATTACAAGTGGGCCTTAGCGCTGGAAAGTAGGGCTCAGTCGGGAGAGCCAGGGAGTCTGCAGAAGGAGGTTGGCATGAACAGAATTGTTGGGGGACAGGGTGGAGGGAGAAGGGAGGCAGAAAAACCCCTAGGTTAGGAGACTTAAATGGAGCAGACCCTCTTCCAAACCTTCCACCTGCTTCTGAGCCCAATTGGACAGCTTCAGAGCAGACTCGGAGGAGAATCAGTTCAGTTGGTCATGCTTGTGAGCACCAAGATGGGACTGGTACAACTGATATGAAGAACAGTCTGCCCTCTTTCTTCTGCAGACGCTTTTACACATTTGAAGGCTTTTGCCATCCTTTTAAACGTCTGAAGGACAATTTAACCTGAGTTCTTAAGGTTCGTTCCAATTCAGGGACTGGGGAATGGGAGTCAGGGACTCAGGAGGATTTGGTTGGGATAGGAAGAAGAAAATGAAAAGGCAGTTTATGAAAAAAATTTGGAGAAATTCCTGCACCTTGGGAAGTTCTCTTGTCCTTCCAGGCATCTTGGGTTTAGCCATAACTCATTTCATTTATCTGAGGATACTTGATTGTGCTTTTCTAACCCATGATTAAATGGAAGGCAAAGAGTCTAAGGGGACATTTTTTGCTATTGCTCATGTCAAGGTAAAAGGCTTGGAGATGTATTAATACAGTTTCCAAAGGCTTTTAAAAGATCTTTATTCTGAAATCAATTGCTGAAATAGCACCTTATGACTGTATATATGATTCATACCCAAGGAGTATATTTAGAACATTGCCTTTATGGTACAAACTGAGAAACCCTGAGAAAGGTTTTTATACTGTACATTCTGTTCATCTCAATTTCTTTGGCACTGATATCTACAATGATGTCTTCCTTAGTGAGGACCAGGAAGTTGGCTGTTTCTCTGTGCTTGTCAGTAGAGCCAATGCTCTGACTGCTACCACATTTTGAATTCATCTTGGCCTGTAACAGAGGCAGAGCCTGCTAGCGTGCTCTTGCATCCAACTGCTATTCTGAGTTGTTGTGGGTTGGTTTGAATGATGTTACTCAACTGCTTTTGTTTTACCCAGATAATGACGATTCCGACGTAGAGATTCAGGAGGATGAAGGATCTGATAGCGAAGGGGAAGAGAGGCAGCTAATAAAGCAGTGCAAAGCCATGGAGACTGCAGTGCAAGGTATCTGAACCTTTCTTTAGTTTCCTTTCATCAGAAAAAACATGCTGAAAGTGTGTGAATCACCCTAAATGTTAGATCCTTTAGAATTCAAGGACATAGGCATTGCAGAGTCCTCTTGAGCTTTAAGAGGACAGAGTTTTGTGGAAAAAAATGCTTTCAAGGGAGTGCATTAGAGAGTAGTACTCTGGAAAGAGTACCACATGAGAAGAATCTTCCCTTGGTTTTGCCTTGCAGATTCAGAAGTAGCTTTGAACGGAAAGCCTTAGAAAAGAAATTGCATTTCTCATTGCAAAGCATTTATTTTCCTTTAGGTCTAGACACGAGTTAGTCCTGGTAGGGTCATCTTCAAAAGGAAACCTTTAGTGAGTTCATAAAGCCACCTTCACTGAAACAGTTATCGATGCAAGACACCTGAACTATTTATTTTACGGAAGGATGTCTGGCCTCTGACTCTGCTTACACGTAGCAAAGTTTTAGCCTCTGGCTGCTGATTCCGGTAGAGCCCTCCCTGGTCAGTAGCAATTCAAAGAAATTACTGTCTGAGGGTCTGTGTTTCTGTTTTCTGTTTCCACTTAGGTAGAAAAAAAAATATTCTGCCCAGTTTACAGTCCAGCAAAACGAAACCACAAAATCTGGCTAGCTGTCACTGGCGTTCTTGTCAGCTGTGAGTGATTCTGACCACCAGCAGAAGCCCCTCTGGGCTCTGGGTGAAGTACCAATGTGGGTAATTTCATGTGCCGGTACTTCTGCTGGAACCTGTTACTTGGGTAGACTGCAAATAATTTTTTTTTCTGAGTCTAATTTTTCTCTCCTTTCTCTGAGCGAGGCCAGAGCTAGAAGCCGAAGTGCTCAAATCAATATAATTCAAGAATTTTGTATCGCCATTTTCTTTATGTCTTGAAATTTCTTGAAAAGTGCCAGAAACCCTGATATTCACTAATTTTTTACGTTGCAGTTTTTAAGAGAAAAGACCGTACAAAGTTTTTAGGGCTTTAGAGATGACTGTGTATAACTGTTCATAATGCCCCATCTCATCACTTCTCTTAGGCCTGGAGCGATAACCTAGAGACGTGGGAACTGGCAACAGTCAAATAGTCAGCTCTTAACATCACTTTTTGGAGAAAGAAGCTCTATTATAAAAACTGTAGATTTTGTTACAAGTAGAATTTTTCTAGGAAGAGCTTTGTTATCACTAACTACCCTGATGGCAAACTCAGCATTAAGTCAGTGCTTGTCACACTTCAAGCGTCTGTAATCCCCAAGACGTTTTCTCTGTCGTGCTGCTTAGATACGTTACTACGCTTTTGTAGCTCTCTGCCTTGTGTTTAGTAAATTACTTCTGGCGCATGCTTATCCTCTGACTTTCACATACTCTGCTGTTTGCTCGCTACAAGGTGGCCTTCCCAATCTTTACCGTTTCCTTATCTCTGTGTATTTTGGAAGTCTCCCTTAGCTGGTCTGTCCTCTTTCTACCTTCTGCCTGCTATGAACAGAACTGTCCAATCAGCTCCAGGTATGGTAAATGGCTCCTTTTCTGCAATTCATCCAGAAGAGTAATGGCTGTACTCTCCCATTCTTACTCATAGCACTTCAGTTCTACAGTCTCCTGGCAGAGACAGATACAAACGTTGTTAGACTTTTAAGCTGAGTCATGGGCTCACTTTTCTGCTTTGCTAAGGTTTCGCTTCATAATCTTGAGCCTACTCACCTAGTCTTTCTAGCTATATCTACACTGTGAAGTGAAGAGCAGGCTTTCTGTCTGCGCTGCTGGCTTTGGTTCAAAATGCCTACGTTTTTTGTTTAAGAAAACTCAACCTTGGGATTTCTATTCTTCTGGCTTGCTCATTCCTGCCCATCCCTTATCTGTCTAGACTGTATGAACAAAAGCTTGGAATATGTCAAGATACCAGTCAGGCCAGAGCTTTCCTCCAGCAGCTCCAGCCTGATCCGGAGTGCGTACTTACATGATGAGCGATTCTGGACTTCAGAACAGGTTCAGCTCTGCACTTGTCTGGGTAAATGGGCCCCTTTGGTCCTGGTCCTTCACTGGCAGTGAGGTTATATGTTTGACTGTGTGACCCTCACACACTGGTGCGCTGGTGGCCACGTCAAGACCTGAGACTGAAGTCAGGTGCTTCAGTCTCTTTGGAAAATTGAGCCTGAACATTCACTGGGTATTTGTCATTAAATATATAGAAAATCTATACATATACTTCAGTATGGATACTGTTTGCATTTAAAATATACTTAATTATTATGGCAGCATAATAAGAACATTATTGTATTTATTACTACTTTCTTTTCCTGACTCAGTTCAAGACATTTCAATCATTGTCTTTTGAAGAATTGTATTTTCTTAAAAGGTGGTGCTCCCGAGCCACATCTGCCCTCCTGCTGAGGAGAAACAGGCTGCTGGGGTCACTCTCTGCAGATGCTGTGGTTCACTTTTACATCTCTAATTTCTAGGTTATTAATATGATAAGAGAAGACTTCCTCCCTCTGTTCATAATAAGTGGGCAAGTACTCCAGTGTGTTTGGCCATGATAGAGGCAAGATTTGCAGGGAGAGATAATATCTGTTATTAGGCCACTCGGTATAATTGAGAAAAATGGACACGCTTTCAGGCTCAATAGTGCTTTCATGAGGTCTGTCTAGATGCAGCAAAATTCAAAGTAAATGCAGCTTTGACAGAATTGTTCCTAATTTTGTTTTTTTTAGTCAAATAAGAGACTTGAAGGGATAGGATTTAGTCTCCTGTGAAGCCGAAAAGAGTGATAGCAAGGGAAGACATGACAAGCTGCTAGTTCCTGTGGTACAGAGAGAGAACTGAAGCCTTATTCCCCTCATACAAGGAGGACTAAGAAGGGGCAAGTTAAGTAGGAAGTTTTAATGAGCTATGTAGCTTGTATCTCCACTGAGTTCAAGATTTTTAGACTCTGTTTCCAAAAGCAGCAAACCTAGCTTTAGGAAGCCAGGAAGGCTTGTGTTGGTATGAGAAGGGAACGCGCATGGGGTGGAGGAAAAAACAGCTAGGAGGATAGTAGCCATACCGGCAGATGTTGGCTTATTGAGTTTGTGAAACTGCAGCATGGTTTATAGTGATTCACAATTACAGGCAGGTATCCTCCTTGATGTAGCTTATTATAATTAAATCCACATATCGCTAATCATTCGCTTTTATAACTAAAAGAATACATTGATCATCTGTACCTTCTAATTTGAAGGTTGTAAATGTGAATAAAAATGCACAATCCGCTTTCATTCTATCTGGCGAGAGATAAGTGAGGCAGTTATGCAAATGAAATAGTAGATGCATGGAGAAGTTAAGCAGCCCTCCCCAAGGTCACAGTATGGGTGAGTGGTGAAATTTGGAATAAGACTGTGTTTTATCAGAGTGCCAAAAAATAAAGAAAAGAAATTCTTACAGCGTTGTAAGGTCTTAATCATCTGCATCTTGACTGAAGCAGGCTGTAGACCACTAGTTTGCAACAGATTAATTGTTCATGTGCAGACAGGGTGGATGTCAGGATGAGGAAAGCAAAACCTTGTCCGAGGAATGTGGAAGTTGCCATGCCGGGTCAGTTGAAAGGTCCACCTAGCCTGGTCTCCTGTCTCCAGCACTTGCTGAAAGAAAACGTCAAGGGGAGAGTGTAAGACCATCCCTCAGGTACTCTCCCGTCCTCCAGTTGTTTTGACCCCCATCAGGGTTTCCTGAGCTGAATGTGATTTCCACATATTTAGTTCAACCCTCAGTAGATTTTTTTCTTCTAGGAACCTGTGCAGTCTCCCCTTGAGCTAAAGCAAGTTGTTAGCATCCCTGCTATCGGAAGTGACAGATTTTGAAGTGACATTGTGATTACATGGGCAGATCTGTTATTCCAGCCTCATTCAGACCAGAGCTCTGAAATGCATTTTGGAATCGTGAATCAATTCAGGATCGCTCCTGTTGCCAGTGTAGTACTGGCTCATTGTGCAGGCCATGGCAGGCTGGTACGCACTGTGCTTGGAACAAGGTAGGCAGTGAAAATGCTACTGAGTGAAACAGAAATGATCTGCGCTTGCAGAGCTATGGGACTGTGCCTGTCCATATTAAATCATCCTCTATTCCGCTATCCATCTTTCAGCTCCTATATCCAAATGTTTTAGAAGCTTGTTGATGTTAAGGGGCATTTTTGTCGTGTTCGCATTGAAAAGACTATTTCACTTGTCGAGGCAATAACAACTTCAGCCTCGTTTGGTGTTTATTGTAAGAAGATGGCTTTATCAAATTCTGAATGCTGCTCAGTAAACAGTCAGTTCAAAGTCAGACAATGAGAGTGCAGCTTTCTTGGAGCCCGTTACCTTTTCAGAACTGCACCCAGAGGATCAATGTGATAATGATGTGTTGGCAGACAGGCTTGCAAGTGTACTTGGATAAAATCTTAGCCTGTGAAAGCCTGCATGTTTTAACATAGCAAGGATGAAAATGTCTGGATGCAGTAGATGAGAATAAAGGATCTTTGTTAAGAAAGCAAAGTATATCTCCCTGGAGGAAATGAAAACAAATATGCAACAATCAAACCCAAGCACGGGCCAACTTGCCAGTGCCAGCTCTTCCTGCGCTATAGCCAGGCCTGTGCAGATTCCTAGTCCTGCTACAGAAATATTTCCTGGAGGGATTGCACATGGAGTGGCACATATCCAAAGCGTGCTTATGCTGCTGTTATGTCAGACATTCAGTATCTTGGGGTGATGATGATGTTTATCCCCCCTGTCCTAGTTTTCTTGTTAAATTTGAGCTTGTGAGTGTAAAATGGGAGCTGGCTAGCAGACACTGAACAAAGGCCAGAGATGACCTTTTCACAGCACGCAGGGTATGAAGGCTGAAGCAGCCCTCATTTTTTCCTCAGTCTTTTAGGGGGAAAGGGAGATTTGACGCAACAGCAAGAAATAGCCCCACTAACGTGTTTCCAAATCCCTTCTTACAGTGCACGAGCTAAAAAGTAGGAAAGTCATGATCT